TTGAACCACGATCCTCAGATCTCAGCCTCCTGAGTAGCTAGGATGACAGGCGTGACCCACCGGCACCCAGCCTCTGTTTGTTTTTTTGTGCCACTACTGGGGCTTGAACTCATCCTGGGTGCTCTCCCTTAGGCTTTTTTTGTTTTAATTTTTAATTTCAATTTTTTGGTTTTTTTTTTTTTTTTTGCTCTCCCACTTCAGCCACAGCTCCACTTCTACTTTTTGGTGGTCATTTGGAGAGGAGAGTCTCACGGACTTTTATACCCAGACTTTTATATCTCAGAGATCTCGGCTTTCTGGGATGACAAAGGTGTGAGCTACCAATGCTGGGCCTCCTGGAGTTTGGGGTTTGCTCAGAGCTAAGCTGAGTGAGGAAAGGGTTTCCTGCTCCTCGATCAGGGATCCTAGCGGACATCACCCTGAGTCTCCTGCACCCTCAGCATTATTCCAATGTTGTTTTTCTCTCTTGCAAGTCAAATCCCCACCAGAGAGGACCATCATGACCAACGACTCTGCAGCCGTGGCCCTCCAGGCATGGTGGCGGGGTACCCTGGTTCGGCGTACACTGTTGCACGCGGCCCTCAGGGCTTGGATCATCCAGTCCTGGTGGAGGTTAATCCTGTCCAAAATGACAACCCAAAGGCTGAGGATGGAGCTGGAGATCTACACGTGGAAAGAATGGGCGGCGGTGAAGCTGCAGTCCTGGGTTCGAATGTGGCGTATCCGTCAGCGCTACTGCCGCCTGCTGAATGCGGTCCGCATCATTCAGGTGTACTGGCGCTGGCATAACTGCCACAGCCGGGGTTTTATTCAAGGCAACTATGAGATCAAAGAAAACCGCTTGAGTATTCAATTGCAAATCTCTTTGGGTGCCCAGGCTTGCAAAGTACAACAATGCGTAGCCCTTCCAATAAAAGAGTAATCAGGTCTGCTACCAGTGTCCAGCTGCAGTCTCTGTTTTGACAACTGAGTGACATATGGTCATTGTCATTCTGATCTGGGGATCCCCTGAAAACAGTGGGAAATCTCCCCGAAGTTCCCTCTAAAAGAGAAGAAGGATTAGCACAGCCCCCAGCCTGAGATCAACATGATATGGAAGACTAGGTTTGCAGGGCACTGGTGGCTCACGCCTGTAATCTTAGCTACTGAGGAGGCTGAGATCTGAGGATCGCCGTTCAAAACCAGCCTGGGCAGAAATGTCTGTGAGACTTTTGATCGGTCCTGGGGCTTGAACTCAGGGGCCTGGGCTCTGTCCTGGTGCTCTTACTCAAGGCTAGCACTCTACCACTTTGAGCCACAGTGCCACTTCTAGTTTTCTAGTGGTTTATTGGAGATAAGAGTCTCATGGAGGGGCTGGGAAGGTGACTCCGTGGTAGAGTGCTTGCTTGGGTTCAATTCCTCAGCACGACATAAGCAGAAAAAGCCAGAAGTGGCGCTGTGGCTCAAGTGGTAGAGTGCTCGCCTTTAGCTGAAGAGCTGAGGGACAGCGCCCAGGCCCAGAGATCAAGCCCCACGACCTAGAAAAAAAAGAAGTTGAGGGACATTGTTCAAGCCCTGAGTTTCAGCCCCAGAACTGGTGTGTGCACCACACACACACACACACACACACACACACACACACACACACACACCAAACAAAACACAGAAGACCAGCTTAGACCTTTACTGGGGATGGAAGGCCCAATGGCCTCCTCCTTGCCAGCCCTTAGTTGTTGACGATCTCGATGTGGAACTGCAAGTGAGTGGCGGTGATCACGCAGTGGGCACGGAGGAAAGAACACATCTGGCAGTTGTGGCATTGCCAGTGGCCTCGGATGACGTAGATGGCGTTGAGCACCTGGCAGTATCTCCAGTGCACGCGCCACATGCGGACCAGAGACTGGAGCTTCACTATCGCCCTCTCCTGGCTGGCGTAGGAAATGAGGTTCTCCCGCCGCTTCTTCTCCAGCATCCTCAGGAGAATTAGCCTCCACCAGCATTGAATGACCCAAGCCCTGAGGGCCGCGTGCAGCAGGGCCCGGCGCACCAGCGTGCCCCGCCACCAGGCTTGGATCTGAATGGCTGCATTTCTTTCCTTCTTAAGATTTTTCTGGAACAGAGGCAGAATCTTCCATGGACACAGGAGAACGTGGGAGTGGGGATGTGGAGGGCAATGGATGGGGTTGGGAGAGAATGCTAGAAGGGATGATATGGAAGGGCTGGGAAGGTGGCTCAGGGGTAGAGTGCTTGCCTTGCATGCAGGAGGCCCTGGGTTCGATTCCTCAGCACCACATACGCAGAAAAAGCTGCAAGTGGTGCTGTGGCTCAAGGGGTAGAGTGCCAGCCATGAGCAAAAAGAAGCTCAGGGACAGTGCCCAGGCCCTGGCCAATAATATATATATATATATATATATATATATATATATATATATATATATGGGACAGCTCTTAGATCCTAAGTTCAAGTCCCAGTATCTCCACCCCCTCCCCCACATACAGAGGTATTACATTGGCATGTTGAATTGAAACCTCCTAAAGATAATACAAAATAATAGTTTTTTCTTGTGTTAGTACTAGGGCTTGAATTCAGGGCCAAGGTACTCTCCCTCAGCCTTGGTGCTCAAGGATGGCTCTTTTTTATTTTTTTGTCGGTTGTGGGGCTTGAACTCTGGGCCTGGGCGCTGTCCCTCAGCTCTTCAGCTCAAGGCCAGCGCTCTACCACTTGAGCCACAGCGCCACATCCGGTTTTCTGGTGGTTCATTGGAGATCAGAGTCTCATGGACTTTCCTTGCCCAGGCTGGCTTTGAACCATGATCCTCAGATCTCAGCCTCCTGAGTAGCTAGGATGACAGGTGTGAGCCATCAGCACCTGGCTCAATCATTTTTGTTTATGCTACAAACCAAAACAGATCCAGAGAACCAGGGATTAGAAAGAGACCCAGGAAAACCTGTGTGAATGACAGGGCTCAAGTGCTCTTAACCATATGGAATTCCACTCACCTTTGCTTTCTTCTTTTGTATAGGCTGATTTTCTGGACCTATTTTTTCTTCTTCATCATGGAGTACAATTAAAATTAAAGTGTTCTTGGTCTGTCATTAGATGTAACAAGAAGTGCATAAATGAGTTGACCGTCGGTTCTCGGTAGGATTCTGTACAAAGGCACGTACTGCTTTTGTATTGCTAGCTCCCCCATCTCCCAGACCTGTGGTGATATTTGGGGTGCCACCCAGCACATCCCACCCCCCCATGCCCACCGGGTACACCCAGCTATATCTCTTACGCAAAATCGAAGCCTCATGGCTTATTTCTAGATGGTTCATTACTCCTGCTTTCTTTGCTTCCCAATGCCTGGCATGAGGCCAGTATAAGTGAAGGGAAAACTATGAATTCATAATCTCATTATGACATAGGGTTAGGATGGGGTTTGTTTGTGTGTGTGTGTGTATGTATGTATGTATGTACTGGTCCTGGGGCTTGAACTCAGGGCCTGAGTTCTGTCCCTTGAGCTATTTGCTTAAGGCTAGCTCTCTACCACTTGAGCCACAGCTCCACTTCTGTATTATTTTTTCTCATTAATTGGAGATAAGAGTCTTATAGATTTTCCTGCCCAGTCTGGCTTTAAACCAAGATTCTCAGCTCTCAGCCTCCTGACTAGCTAGGATGACAGGCATGAGCCACTGGTGTAAACCCGACAGGATGAAGTAATTACAGGGGTAGTAAGGTCGCATCCAGCAAAATCTGGCTTTGCCAAGGCAGCCGCAGGTGCCTGGAGATGTTTTCTCATCTTCCTCCTAGAAGACAGAAGGCTACACACATACAAAATCAGACACTGAAGCCACGCACTGGTGGCTCACACCTGTCATCCTAGCTACTCAGGAGGCTGAGATCTGAGGATTGCGGTTCAAAGCCAGCCCAGGCAGGAAAGTCTGTGAGACTCTAATCTCCAATGAACTACTCAAAAACTAGAAATGATGCTATGGCTCAACGGGATAGAGCACTAGCCTTGAGTACAAAGAGCTCAGGGACAGCCCAGAGCCCTAAACACACACACACACACACACACATACACAATGGAGACTTGGTGTTGGGTCTGCATAATGGCAGGCTGGACTGTGGCTATAATGAAGAATGCCTATGAACACAAGGCAGGTGGTGGTATATATAGGGAGAGGGCAGGAAGGAGGTGTGGCCACAGCAGATCCAAAAGTGACCTCAGAGCCTTGGAACCTCCCACAGGCCAAAGGGGGTGTGGCCAGGGCAGTCCAGGATGTGACCTCAGAGGAAAGGGCGGTAACTGCCCCTGGTGTACCAGTCACCTGGGTAACGCAGGTGTTGGGCAGACTTCTAGGGGGGAAGGATCTACTGCATCTTTGCCCAGAGAGAAGGGGCCATTTCCAGGGTGGACTTCAAAGATACCCCTGATCCCAATAGAATAAGAGGGACAAGACTGACATTTCTTTCTTCCTTTTTTTTTTTTTGTCAGTCATGGGGCTTGAACTCTGGGCCTGGGCACTGTCCCTCAGCTCTTCAGCTCAAGGCGAGCGCTCTACCGCTTGAGCCACAGCGCCACGTCTGGTTTTCTGGAGGTTTATTGGAGATAGGAGTCTCATGGCCTTTCCTGCCCAGGCTGGCTTTGAACCTCAATCCTCAGATCTCAGCCTCCTGAGTAGCTAGGATGACAGGCATGAGCCACCAGCACCTGGCTGTTTATTTATTGCCAGTCCCGGGCTTGAACTCAGGGCCTGCGCACTGTCCCTGAGCTTCTTTGGCTCAAGGCTGGCAGTCAACCACTTGAGCCACAGCGCCACTGGTGGCTCTTTCTGCTTTATGTGGTGCTGAGGAATTGAACCCAGGGCCTCAGGCATGCGAGGCCAGCGCTCTACCACTGAGCCACCTTCCCAGCCCAGAAGGCTGACATCTCTGGGACAATCATGGAGGCTCACGTGTGCACACAATCCATCCAGGCCAGACATTTTTTTTTTATTGAGTTACTGGGGCCAATGATCATAGCAGGCCCTGTTTAGACGCACAGGATCTCGATGTGAAACTCCGGTTGTCTGGCCACCGCGTTGTACTGGACGGGCCAAGAGTAATCCTTCTGGCAGATGAGCCTCTCGTTGGTGGACTGGAACACATACATCGTGCCGCACAGGTGGCTGAAATACTGTCGACACAGCCACGTGCGGACACAGGCCTGCAGTTTCACGGCTGCCGCTTCCTGGATGGCGTACTCCCTCAGCAGATTCTGCCTGCACTTGCTTATCTGCCTGTGCTTGGCTGCCCTCCACCAGGATTGGATCATCCAAGCTCTGAGGGCTGCGACCAGCAGCACCCGACGCACCAACACGCCCCTCCACCAGGCCTGAATCTTCCTAGCTGCCATGATCTTTTGGGGGATCATTGTTACAAGAGGTGGCTGAGCGAGAAAAGCAGAGGGCAGCCAGAGAATGGGTCATCGTCCACCCAAGGTGAGGCACGCACCAGGAGCTCACGCCTGTAATCCCAGCTCAGGTCTTAGGAGGCTGAGATCTGAGGATCACAGTTTGAGGCCAACCAGGGGGGAGGAGGGGAGATGTCAATCATGGGGCTTGCATTCAGGCCTTGGGCGCTGTCCCTGAGCTTTTTCCGGTTCCGACTCAAAGCTAGAGTTCTCCTACTTGGAACCATTTTCCGTTTTCTAGTGGTTCAGGGGAGATCGGAGTCTCATGGACTTTCCTGACTGGGCTGGCTTTGAACTGTGATCCTCAGATCTCAGCCTCCTGAGTAGCTAGGATGACAGGCATGTAAGCTAAATGAGACTAAAGATGATTGCTCCGTTGCCAGGGACTCTGTGATCATAAAGATAGGGTCTCTGTTTTCTAACCTACCTTTATTATCTCCATTCTTTCCGGCTCTTCTTTTGGGCTAGGCTTCTGTAAGAACAATGGGGCGAAGACAGACATGTCAGAAATGAGGACTGAACTGGGGTAGAACTCAGTGGCAAAGTGCTTGCCTAGCAAATTCAACATCCTGGGTTCAATACCAAATACCAAAGAAGTTTTAAAACCCCCCAACAAACAACAACAAAGCTGGGCGCTGGTGGCTCACACCTGTTCTCCAAGCTACTCAGGAGGCTGAGGGCTGAGGATCACAGTTCAAAGCTAGCCCTGGGCAGGAAAAGTCTGTGGGACTTTTATCTTCCATGAACCACCTGAAAACCAGAAGTGGCGCTGTGGCTCCAGTGGTAGAGCACTCGCCTTGAGCTGAAGAGCTGAGGGACAGCGCCCAGGCCCTGAGTTCAAGCCCCAGGACTGACCAAAAAATAAAAAAAGAAATGAGCACTGACTTCTGGGTAAAGTTTCCCCCACGCTGCCTGAGTCCATTGAGCTTCCATTGACATACTGACAGCTTGCCACCCCTGAGGGAGTAAATAATCTTACGCGAAATACATTGCCCATAGTGGGAGGGTTGTGGCTCAGGGATCATTGGCCTCTCGGTCCTGCTCCTTGTCCTCTTTCGAGGGTAGCGCTGGTGGTGACAAAGGCGAGGGCTATGATGTCATAAGGCTGGTTATGACTCTGTTCCAAGCTCAAAGGTATGAGATAAAGCTGGGTGCCAGCGTGTGCCGGTGGCCCCCGCCTGTCATCCTAGCTACTCAGGAGGCTGAGATCTGAGGATCACGGTTCAAAGCCAGCCTGGGTAGGAAAGTTCATAAGACCCTCTCCCAGCCTCCAATGAACCAGGCAGAAATGCAGCAGGGGTTCAAGTGGTAGAGGGTGCTTTGAGGAAAAAAAAACAACTCAGGCGTTGAATTCAAGCCCTGGTAGAGACACAAAGAAACCAAAAAAGGATTATCCTGCTGAAAGAACAGCACCATGGCCAAAAGGCCCCAGGAGGAGAAAAAAATGAGGAGATGATTATGCTGATTTTTATTTTTTCCATCATGGGGTTTGAACTCTGGGCCTGGGCGCTGTCCCTCAGCTCTGCAGCTCAAGGTGAGCGCTCTACCACTTGAGCCACAGCGCCACTTCCGGCCTTTTCTGCTTATGTGGTGCTGAGGAATTGAACCCAGGGCCTCATGCATGCGAGGCAAGCACTCTACCACTGAGCCACTTTCAAAGCCCAACTTGTGTGGCCTTCTTCTGTGGATGTGGTACCGAGGAATTGAACCCGGGGCTTCATGCATGCTAGGCAAGCACTCTACCACTGAGCCACCTTCCCAGCCCTTCCTGTCTCTTCTTGCCACCTGCTCTGGGACTCCTCTGGCAGGTGCCATCTACCTGGGAGGTGGCTTTGTGAGTCCCTGTCCTGCCCCTCCTCTCCTCTTCCCCCCAACCCTTCACCCTCCCCACCCCACCCCCCCCCCCCCCCCCCCCCCGCTTCCCATCTAAAACCCCAGACCTGGCAGATGCTCCACGGCCCCACCCCCTTTAGAGTCTGATTTCATTTCCAGTGCTTCTTTGGATCATTTATAGAGCAGAAAGAATGACTCCCTGGAGACCACCCAGTGCGTCACTTAACCCCTCAGAGCCCAGAGTTGTCCGCCGCACCTTGGTGACATCTTCTATCCACAGAGCTTGAAGAATGCCCAGCCAGCCGGGTGGGCGCTGGTGGCTCATGCCTCTCATCCCAGCTACTTAGGAGGCTGAGATAGGAGGATCGTGGTTCAAAGCCAGCCCGGGGAAGTTAAGTCCCTGAGACTCTGATCTCCAATGAAGCACCAGACAACCGGAAGTGGCGCTGTGGCTCAAGAGGTAGAGGGCTCGCCTTGAGCTGAAGAGCTGAGGGACAGCGCCCAGGCCCAGAGTTCAAGACCCAGGACTGGCAAAAACAAAAATCCTCCAGCCTCACACGGGGAGGGGGGGGGTTGGGGAGGGGGGGAGGAAATCATTTCCTGACCCGAGGCCTACAAAGACCCCCCCTATACCCCTCCTAGAGAATATATCCCCTTCCCCAGGCCTCAGACCTGGGACTTGAGGGATTAGAGAAGCCAGCATGGACTTTAAGAACCTACTGAGAGGTAGGGAGCCACAGCGACAGAGAGACAGGAAAACCAGCAAGGCAGGCCCAGCAGAGGGGAGGAGCCAGTGGCAAGCCCCACCCACCCCCACCCCCATCTCTGGTTCACCAGGGAGGGGAACTTCCAGGTGAGGGAGACACAGCTACAGCTCTTTCCTTCCAATTCTGCTCTGGCCTTCCCCAGGGAGCCTGGCTGGGGCCGCCTCCTCCTCCTCCTCCACCCTTTCCTCCCTACCTATGAGGCAGTGCGTCTATTCTGCTGCTCTTCAGTGGAGGTGCGCTGTGCTCCCTGCCACGCACTTCATTGGCCCTCAGGGCCCTGGGGCCCAGGCTGTGGGTGGAATCCCCACACCTTCCCAGCTGGCTTTGGCCACAGCCCAGACTCCCTGGGGTTCTGTCCTGAAAGGAGATGCAGGAACAAGAAGCTGAGCTCTACAGCCCCAGAGGGTGAAGGACTGGATGAGGTCCAACATAGAGCCTTGAACCCTGGGCCTGGGCGCTGTCCCTCAGCTCTTCAGCTCAAGGCAAGCGCTCTACCACTTGAGCTACAGCGCCACTTCCGGTTTTCTGAGTGGTTCATTGGAGATCAGAGTCTCACAGACTTTCCTTGCCCGGGCTGGCTTTGAACCAGGATCCTCAGATCTCAGTGTCCTGAGTAGCTAGGATGACAGGTGTGAGCCACCGGCTGCCCGGCTTATTGGTTCTTGTTTTGTTGATATTAGAAAGGTGGCGTGCAGAAGGGAAGACTTGAAAGTTTGACACACACACACACACACACACACAAACCCATCCAGATCTTTCTGGGGAAAGAGCCAGAATGTCCCCCTTCCCCCCTTCCCACCCCCCACTCCCTCACACTGGAGTTCTTTCTCACCAGGATTTCAGTGTGGAACCCAGCTTCTAGTTGGAGATGGTTTCTATTTCTCCTGGAAAAGGCTAACCGTCTGGAAGATACAGTACCAACATGGTCCTGGATCAAAGCCCCATAACTCTTGGCAGAGGTTGGCACCAAAGTACCATATGCAAAAGAGAACTGCATCCAGGCACACACTCATCTGGAAGGCTGAGATCTGAGGATCGTGGCTTGAAGCCAGCCCAGGCAGAGAAGTCAATGAGACTCCAATGAATCACCAAAAGGCCAAAAGTAGAGGTGTTGGCTTGAGTGGTAGAGCACTAGCCTTAAGCACACAAGCTCAGACACAGAGTCCAGGCCCTGAGTTCAAGCCTCAGAACTGGTACACACACATAAAATAGGATAAGGCTGGGCGCCGGTGGCTCACGCCTGTCATCCTAGCTATTCAGGAGGCTGAGATCTGAGGATCTCGGTTCAAAGTCAGCCCGGGCAGGAAAGTCCGTGAGATTCTTATCTCCAATAAACCACTCAGAAAACTGGAAGTGGCGCTGTAGCTCAAGTGGTAGAGCGCCCACCTTGAGCTAAAGAGCTGAGGAACAGCACCCGTGCCCAGAGTTCAAGCCCCACAACCCCTCCCCCCCCAAAAAAGGATAAAACCCCTGTATATGGAAGTACTATGGTAGGCATGTGTTAAAACCAAGAATTAGACAATTCTAGGGCTGGGAAGGTGGCTTAGTGGTAGAGTGCTTGCCTAGCATGCATGAAGCCCTGGGTTTGATTCCTCAGTACCACACACACAGAAAAAGCCGGAAGCAGCTTTCTGGCTCAAATGGTAGAGTGCTAGCCTTGAGCAAAGGAAGCTCAGGGACAGTACCCAGGCCTTGAGTTTCAAGCCCCAGGTCTGGTGCACGTACACACACACACACACACACACACACACACACACACACACACACACACACACACACACACACACACACACACACACACACACACACACACACAGCACAAGCAACCAGAAGAAACTCTGCAGCTGATATATTCTCTCCACTAGAGGGCGGGCGCGGTCAGCCGAATTTAGGTAACTGGGGGAAAAGGCTTTCAGAAAACAGCTTTTTTGAAACATTTCCTTCTTTCTGTAATTTTGTGGCTGAGAGGAATGTGGTTTCACTCAGAAAAAATTCCCATAGCTGAAGACCTAAAGTGTTGGAAATATAATCCCTTCACTGCTTTAAAAAATCCACTTATTAAAAAAAACCTAAAGATTACTCGGTACCCTGGACTCCCGCCTGTCATCCTAGCTACTGAGGAGGATGAGATCTGAGGATCCTGGTTTCCAGGCAGTCTAGGCAGGAAGTGAAGAATGTGACTGGAAAGTAAACGTCTTGAATGAAGAAACCAAATTACCTTCCCTCCAAGTTGCAGGTATTATTATTATTTACTTTAGTGTGTTGGTAGTGGGACTTGAACTCAGGGTCTTGTGCGTTTGCTTGGCTTTTTTTGTTCAAGGCTGGTGCTCTACCATTTGAGGCATACCTCCACTTGTGGCA